CCATGCCCCTGCATTGTTAGCGATCTGTCAAGAGAAGCTATCAGAACAGTGGAGAGCAAATCCAGGTGAAAAGAAAAGGACTCCGATGAAGTGAGCTGTAGCTCATGAAAGCTTATGCTCAAATAAATTTGTTAGTCTCTAAGGTGCCACAAGTCCTCCTTTTCTTTTTGCGGATACAGACTAACACGGCTGCTACTCTAAATCCAGGTGAGAAGCTGATATTCAAGAACCTTGAAAGCTTGTGTATGTAAAGTATTTTGGGGGCAGATAGTGACTCCTGTATTGAGATTCCTGTGCTAAGCTAAAATGCAAGTCTGTTGCATTGTCCTAAACCTGTATGACTTCCATCAGTGCTCTCCCTCTTCTTTTTTTTATAACATCGGTGTGAACATTTGCTGCTAACACTGGCTGTCTGCCTGCTCCACTCCACCCTGCCAGTGTTTGTTGGCCATGGTTATGCTCTGCCAACGCTAATCATCCCAGCACACTCCCAAAGTTCCACTGAAAACCTGTTTCTTCCCCTCCTCCTCCTGCTCTTTATCTGTAGCTGTGCCATTTCCCCTTCACCTCTGTCTGCTTTAGAATTTTAGCTCTGGTTTTTAAAATGAGAATTTTATACCAGCTTGAAACGATGCAACACAAACTTTGTTCCACATACTTTGTATTATACATAATTCTTACAGTTAAAGCACTGGCCAATTTTCTATAAGATCAGGATTCTGGTTTGTGAAAACTCATAGAAGCCAACAAAACCCCACTGCAGGGGAAAGACGAGAATAGGCTGATTTCCTTCCTCTACCACCAGCACACATCCTCACTTTGCCTCCTACATGGATCACTCTAATGCAGTCCACTTAATGTCCATTGATTTCCAGGTAGTGGGCTGGCAGCCAGGAAGCTGGTTGGGTGGGGAAAGTCCGTGAATGTTTCCAGCTGCAGGGAAGCAATGAGGCTAGAGTTCTAACTCACCCACCTTCCTGCTGCAAGAACCTGTCACCGATCTACTTGTGGATGGACCTGCTTTAGCAGGGGACTGTAACACCCATCGGCTCCCTCCCACTGCATGCCTTTCTCCTTGTTAGGTAAGAGGGAAAGTCCTGCATATGATGTTGCCAGGCTTTGTGGTGTGGCGACTGCATGGCAAGCCAGGAGCTGCAGAGAGGGTGAAACGGGAGCCACATGGCAAGCAGGGGGCTGGAGAGAAGCCCCAGGAACCGTGGACAGAGACACATGTGGACCAGGCTGTGAGTGCCAGACAATAAGTTACAGCTGTGTGGGACTTAGGAGGAGCAGTAGTGGCTGGCCAGGGAGCCAGTGCTGAGGGGCTCCAATGAGAGACAATAATGGAACCTCATTTACTTGGAAGAGAGGCTGGACGGGAGAAGGCAGCCCAGGCACTTGGCCTGAAGAGTGCTGACTCTCAGTTGGACTGCCCCAGGGGCCTAAACACTTACCACTGTCACTCGCTTTGAACTATAACTCTTTAAGCCTCCGTACTTAGGGTATTTGCAACCTTTCCCTTCTTGCTAGCGCTAGTAAAATACCCTTTCACTTTAGCCATATATTGGCGTGATTACTGAGACATACCAGGGCCTGTGCCAACAAGGTCTAACTGCTGAAGCACCTACAGTCCTTGGTTCCGAGATGTGATGCTACTGACACACTAGAGGTGTGGTGTACTGGGCAGCCCCAATAATTACATCCACTGGCACCCCCTATGTCTCCGGTGGAGGCAGCTAGATTCCAGGTATTTCTCCCCTGGAAACCAGCATGGTTCCTAAGGATTAGGATCTGGCGGTCATAGTGGATCACAAGCTAAATATGAGTCAACAGTGTTACGCTGTTGGAAAAAAAAAGCAAACATCATTCTGGGATGTATTAGCAGGAGTGTTGTAAGCAAGACACGAGAAGAAATTCTTCCACTCTACTCTGCGCTGATTAGGCCTCAACTGGAGTATTGTGTCCAGTTCCGGGTGCCACATTTCAGGAAGGATGTGGACAAATTGGAGACGGTCTAGAGAAGAGCAACAAAAATGATTAAAGGTCTAGAAAACGTGACCTATGAGGGAAGATTGAAAAAACTGGGTTTGTTTATTCTGGAGAAGAGACTACTGAGAGGGGACATAATAGTTTTCAAGTACATTGTTGTTACAAGGAAGAGGGAGAAAAATTGTTGTTCTTAACCTCTGAGGATAGGACAAGAAGCAATGGGCTTAAATTGTAGCAAGGGCGGTTTAGGTTGGACATTAGGAAAAACCTCCTAACTGTCAGGGTGGTTAAGCACTGGAATAAATTGCCTAGGGAGTTTGTGGAATCTCCATCATTGGGGATTTTTAAGGGCAGGTTGGACAAACACCTGTTAGGGATGGTCTAGATAATACTTAGTCCTGCCTTGAGTGCAGGGGACTGGACTAGATGACCTCTCAAGGTCCCTTCCAGTTCTATGATTCTGTGATTAATATGACAGTGCTCTCTTGTTTAGCCAGTTATGTTCAAGGCTCAGGAGCAAGAATGGTTAGCGTATTGGTGCTGCTGTGTCAGCGTCCATGCATGTATCCAGCCAGAACATTATTCACCCTCCCAGACACCTTACAGTACCAACCGCAGCATGCTAACGTTGGGGGAGTTTTGTTTGGAATGCACTGTTTAAGTGAGTTAGGCGACCTGCTCCCTCTGCCATAACCAAATGCCCAGCGACCCATTTAGAGAGAGGAAATGTGCCTTTTAGGCTTTGTGTCTCTGTGTTTGCACTAAGCTGCTAGACAGAGGACTCAGAACATGCTGAAGCAGCGAAGAAAAAAGAGAGAAAAATATGAAAATACTGGCATTCTCGCTGTGTGTCTGAGGAAGAGGAAGTTTAATAACTAAAGTCCCGGTGGATACTGACATTTTAGCAGAGCAGACTGCCAGCACCCATCCTTCTTGAAACTGTCTGTGACTGTGCCAGAACCCAAGTGAATGAGTACTTTCATCGCGGTGTTTACCAAGATTGCTCACTGTTTTCTTTGTGACGCTACTAGACCTCTGTCCGGCACTTTGCTGCAGACAACTGCTGGTCTGTTTCTTTTCTTTGGTCAATGGTTACAAAATTGAAGTGACTGATTACCTTGCTTTTAGTTACAAGCTGGAGAACTATCAAGGAACTCAAGGTCTAATTTGGGTCTTAATAATAAGAGAGGTGAAAAAAATCAGTGAATCTGATTTTAATAAAGTTTTGTTTTCCATTATCTTAATGATGGACATGAGAGAGAACATACTGAACCACCCGCCCCTTTCTCATTGTAAGCTCCTTGAGGTAAGGGCCATCTTTTTGTTCTGTTTGTACAGTGCCTAGCACAATGTGGTTGAGTCATTAAATGCAGCTCTTACACCCTATCATAATGGAAATAATACAGAATGAATCCTGGACACATTGTGGTTGGAGATATGCTTACAACAATGGTGTTTAAGAACCCATTGTTGCTAACAGCTTCCACCAAAGTTTCTCTGACTGGGGTGGACAAGAATATTTTCCCTGAGAAATGTTGTTATAAAAGCCCAATGTAGGTGATGGGTCCTTGTAAATCACAGATTTTACCATGATGGGACAGTGTGATACAACACAGAAGAGCCTCAGCCATGTCCTAAAACAGTTTTTTCTTGAGTGTGGCTGGAAGTGAGTCTTTTTCGAACTGTTACAGAATTGCGTTACAGGCCAGAGCCTGATTTCCTCTGATGTAGATCCAAAGTAACGCAACTGACTTCGGTGGAGTTGCATAATTTTATTTCACATTTCACCTTCTTTTGCTTAGTCATAGGGCTTCTTGGGGGCTTGGGAAAGAATTTATTTGCCAAAAATATTGATGTGTTAAGTAAATGAAGAGGTAAATCAGCTCCTTTCTTTAGTTGTCCTTTGACTGGTAAATAATACCTGTTTCAGGCAGAAGCTTTCCACATGTACAATAGATTTTGGTCGGTATGTTATCTGAGCAATCTCAGTAACATTTCCAACTGTTGTAATGCAACATACTTTAAGAAGTTCATCCTGTACCTCAATACTGCCTGGCAATCTCTGGTATGTTGGCAAAGCATTCAGAGCATTACAGATGAAAAGCTCAGAACATGAAAGTAACATAAAGTCAGTTTAGAATTGCCCTGTAGCTAAGCATTCTTTTCTTGTCCCTGTATTTTTGGATGGAGTCAAAAGGCTTACAGCAACCAGACATAGAGAATATATTAAGGATTTGCTTCTAGAACATAGTTCGAATGTACTATTTTTTAAACAAACTTAAAACCAAAGGATTTAAAAGGGATCTTACCTAACATGTTTTCTTATGTTCTCAATATGAATAGTTATTCTAAGTATAAATGATTTGAAAGTAGAACAGTCTTATACAAAGTGCTTTTTCTCTTATGTAATCATATATTGATACTTGTCTAACGTGCTCATTTAAGAAATCTGGGGCCATAAAAATAAGAGCAGCATCTATCAATCTCTTCCCTAGGAGCATGGTAGTGATTTAAGGTTATTGCAAGTTTTTATTTACATATATTTATATATTATTTGAAGGTATATTTGTATAATTATCTAAAGATATAATATTTGTCTGTTGGAATGTGATACAACTGCAAGAATAGGTATCCTGAGGGGCGAAGGGGGATATAGAGTAGAAATAAATGGTTCACTAAATTGATCAATTTTAACAGTAATTTTAAATCCAGTGGAACATGGAGTCTGAAGTCCTGATTTCCTATTGGTTACTGTAGTACCCTTTGATAGTTAGGAAAAGACCCAGTACAGTAAAGAGAACAATGGATGGTTGGCAACTTTTCACTTTTCAAGGTAATGTTTTCTTTTAATGATTTCATGTAGCAATAACGACCACTGGGTTGGGCATTTCCTGGCAGCTAATGTCTGGCTTGGTTCGTTAACTAACAGGAAATGCCCAGCCCAGAGAGCATTATTGAGTAAAGAAAAGAAAAGCATTTACTTTATTATTTTTTATATTTATTTCCCCCAGAATATTCAAAGTCCAGACAGAGGCTTTTTTTCCTCTTCGTGTTTCACTCTTTTCCATTGGCAAATCTCCCTCAACTCCACACAGCTGGTGTTTGACACTTGTCTGTGTAGTACAACCTCCCCAGGCTGGAGCAGTCATGATAGAAAGGGACAGGGAGAGCACCAGTTACTTCTCTTACTGCATGAATTATGGTACGTGCCTTTGCATCTTGTCAGGGATTCTACCACGCACCCACCCGCCCCTGTCTCTGTCTTGTTTTCCTTCCCTCTTCTCTCACCCTCTCCAGTCCCCCACCCCTGTTTCTCTCCCACACTGGTCTCTGGGCCCCATTTTTCTCCTCCCCCATAGCCCTTTTCCTTTGTCCTTTCTCCCCCTCCCTTGGTACTCAGGATTACCCTCATGCTCCCTTCACTGTGCTGCTGTGTGATGACGTCCCCTGCCTGATGACTTGTCACTTGCTGACTCTCCTCTGTTGCAGCAGCAGGAAGTGCCAGCCAGACTTGCTGCTGCTCTAGGAAGATTGCCTGTGCACAGCCCAGGACCCCACTCCTCTCCAGGAGGGCTGTTGCTGCTCCTCGGCTGTTCCTCCTCTCTGTCTGCAGGAAAAGGCTGTTAATTTTTTCTGATACACATATTGCTCCTTCTGTGTGCTGCAGTGCATTCTGCATTCTCTCAGTCTGTGCTGTCCCACTGGCAGGTAGCCATGTCAGGAATTGCCCTCACAACTGGCCTGCAGGTGAACAGCCTCAGCCAAGGCCTGAGTGGGCAGAATATGGAGGGAAATTTTCTTTGCCCTGACCTAGAATCCCTACCTGCAATTTTTTCTGTGGGAGAGCATGATATGGCCCTGTGTGATTTAGCCAGAGGAGGTAGCTAAATGGTCTTGGCATCAATCAGATTTGAAATATCTAAAGTAAAAAGTCCTGGCAGAGGCAACTCACCCCTTTGCCCATTCTCCCAGGGTAGAGGAGATGAGTTCCATCCAATTTACTGTTTGCATGTCTTTCAGGTGACGCTTTGCAAACTGAGGCCCTATTAGACCTGCATGGACAGCCAGTGTTCTGTGGCAATTTTCTTACAAGAAGGGTTTATTCCTGTGTCCTTGGCCAAATTTCCCCAGTGCAGCGGGCTTTGCACTTGTTGGCTGTCACCTTCAGTGCTAGCTGATGCTCTACTATACACAAGAAATACACCTTATTCATGTGAGTACTCCCAGCAGCATCACTGGGCTAATCGTGAGCCAGCTCTCCCACTGAGCCGTATTTTAGCCAGCAACTAATCCCACTGAAATTAGTGGGACTATTCATGGAGGAGGCTATTCCTCAGAATAAGAAATGGTGGCAGAATCAGGCTCTCTGTGAGTAAGGAGAATGGAATCTGGCCCATAATTTGTATTGTTTGTACAACTGATCCTCCAGGATGAAGGTCTGAATGCTGAAAACCTAATCACTTTGGTTTATTTAATGGTAGAAACCTTGCCTCTTAAATAAATAGTGTCATTGTATCAACTCATTAGAAAGCTAAAACCTAGAACCCTACATTCTGCCAATACCCTTGAGGTTGTGTATACAGCATATAAAGACATACAAACATATAGGCTGTTTTCTTCTCTCTGCTTTGAAAATCTTCCTGAGACTCAAAGCAGAATTTTTCAGGTTCTATATGAAATGTGATGCAAACCTTTCCACAAGTGATAATCGCTTTCACTAATTGTAACCAATTTGCAATGACAGAAAGGAGTTTTGAACATGTTAGAATCTGGTAACAAGATTGACATTTGTTTTCAAGCATACAATAATCATGTCTTTCCAAAGTGTGTTCAAAGCATAAAATATACCTCTTCTTCTGTGATTGCTATCTCTTTGATGTCCAGCTCTGTCAAATTTTCCCTTGAATAAAGTCTCCGGACCTGTTTTCTTGCTTACATATTCATTCAAGAGCCATCGTGGTAGATGTTCATAAGTCCATTGACAACTATCTGTGAGAGATTCTCTGCTGTGCGTTAACCAATGGTTGCCAAGTTACAGCTGTCCTGTTTATAAAACATTTTTGGCAAGAACTTGCACAACAGTTACACCGTACATCATAACAAACATTTATTCTTCCTGAGAGCTTCTGAGAGCTAAACCTTTTAAGTGACAGATACATGTCTGATACAGATCTGATACAAGGCCTGTCCTACACTAGATAATTAAGTTAGCTGAACTATATTGCTCATGGGTGTGAAAAATCCACATCTGTGAGCAGGGTAGTTAAGCCAGCCAAACCCCTACTGTAGACAGTGCAAGGCCACCAGAAGAATTCTACCACACTTCAGGGAGGCGGATTGCCTATGCAGATGGGAGAACTCCTCCTGTCACCGTAGGTAGTGTCTATACTGAAGCACTACATCACTGCAGCTCTAGTACTGCCCCTGAGATGCTGCAGCACGTTTTAAGTGTAGACGTACCCCAAGAATGCATATTTAATTCAAAGTATATTTTTGCAATGAAGCAATAAGATTTACCTCTGTGACCAATTAAAATTCTCTAATAAATAAATGCTTCTCTAGTCCTATCTAGAAGATTTTCTTTTGGTGATTCAATAATATGTTTTTTATTGTGATAGCTAGAACTGTCAGCAGCTCACATTGTGTCCTGTAGGGCCTGTCATTTCTCTGGATAATGTTGCTTTCCTTTTATTACAGGCCTCGCGGAAGACACGTAATCTGAGCGGCTTTTGCCAGTCACAAAAGGCGAACTTGCCAGAACCAAATCTTATTTATGACCTTTAAACACTGGTTGCCAAAGGTGACCTTTGCCTTTTTGGCTTTAGGCTGTGTTCCAAATCTGATTTTTAATAAGTCTGTTTGCATGGAAAGGAACCATTCATCCGTGTCTATATTATGCTCACTTTCACTAACGGAAAATGCTCTCTAGAATGCTGTGGAAAGACCTGGATCAAAAAAAAGCCTAACTTATCTGACTGCTATTTACACCTGGACCAAGGAGTTGGAGAGACCGTACAGCTGTTTATAAGCAAACTCTTTTCTGTGGTATTATGTTTCGCCCTTAAAAAGTCAGCCTGTGAAAGAGTCGCACAATAAATGTCCTTTGTAAAGCCCTTACTGATATGAAACAGATCCACAACGGGGCTAGTGCCTACTTTACACACAACGTACCTTATTCATGCCTGCTGGGGTGGAACTCATATAGCAATAGGCCCTGACATCAAGGTGTTGGTGTCACAGTGCACGGTGAGGCATGAGACTTCACAATTTCATATGGTTTTCAAGCCAAATTAACATCTTTTTACAACATTTCTCAAAATCACAATCATAGAATCATAGAATATAAGGGTTGGAAGGGACCCCAGAAGGTCATCTAGTCCAACCCCCTGCTCAAAGCAGGACCAATTCCCAGTTAAATCATCCCAGCCAGGGCTTTGTCAAGCCTGACCTTAAAAACCTCTAAGGAAGGAGATTCTACCACCTCCCTAGGTAACGCATTCCAGTGCTTCACCACCCTCATAGTGAAAAAGTTTTTCCTAATATCCAATCTAAACCTCCCCCACTGTAACTTGAGACCATTACTCCTCGTTCTGTCATCTGATACCATTGAGAACAGTCTAGAGCCATCCTCTTTGGAACCCCCTTTCAGGTAGTTGAAAACAGCTATCAAATCCCCCCTCATTCTTCTCTTCTGCAGGCTAAACAATCCCAGCTCCCTTAGCCTCTCCTCATAACTCATATGTTCCAGACCCCTAATCATTTTTGTTGCCCTTCGCTGGACTCTCTCCAATTTATCCACATCCTTCTTGAAGTGTGGGGCCCAAAACTGGACACAGTACTCCAGATGAGGCCTCACCAATGTCGAATAGAGGGGAACGATCACGTCCCTCGATCTGCTCGCTATGCCCCTACTTATACATCCCAAAATGCCATTGGCCTTCTTGGCAACAAGGGCACACTGCTGACTCATATCCAGCTTCTCGTCCACTGTCACCCCTAGGTCCTTTTCCGCAGAACTGCTGCCTAGCCATTCGGTCCCTAGTCTGTAGCTGTGCATTGGGTTCTTCCGTCCTAAGTGCAGGACCCTGCACTTATCCTTATTGAACCTCATCAGATTTCTTTTGGCCCAATCCTCCAATTTGTCTAGGTCCTTCTGTATCCTATCCCTCCCCTCCAGTGTATCTACCACTCCTCCCAGTTTAGTATCATCCGCAAATTTGCTGAGAGTGCAATCCACACCATCCTCCAGATCATTTATCTGAATGAATCATTTATTCATTTATTTACAAGGTTTCAGCAATATAAAAATGGGCAGAACAAAGTTCTGGACAATTTGACTCGGGTGTTTATTAAACATTTTTTTCACAGTGTCACACAGCTGCTTCTGCCTTCAGCCCTGGCTGTTCCACTGACTCACTGAGAGACCTTTCATTTCACCTCTCTGTGCAACAGTGCCTCTATTTAACATGGGGATCCCACCTACCTCAGAAGTGCCTTGGAAGTAATAATATCATGCTTACAACTTTCTTTGGGCCCACATGCTTCATATTGCACAGACTCGTGTAGCCAAATAGCCCTGGAGCCAGCAAAGCACTTAAGCAGGTGTTTAACTTTATGCTGGTATACGTGACTATGCAAGGTGCAAGGCAGAGGAACACCAGACCCAGAATATTGCCATTGTTACATGCTGGCTGTGGTGAATTGGCCCAGAGTGCTTTGTTGTTTTGAAATGGGCAACAGAACAGCAGCAATTTCTAATCTCACCTCTTAACAAACTCGGAGCCCCAAATTTGACTGGTGCCTGTCTACTTCTTACCTTATCCTTCATCACCTTTTGCCACTGTGCTTAGAGCACAGAGACCGACCAGTTTCATCACCTTGCACTTCCCCAAAGTCATTTCACACAATTGTGCCCATGAGACTCTCATTTCTGATGCTGTGGTAGCTTCATATTCTCAGCTGCTGCTGCCACAATATAGCCTGGGCCAAGGTGGCAGAGAGCAAAGCCTGAGACGTCTCTTGCTGAAACTAATGAGTTTAACCTGCTGAAATAAACAAGAATCCTTTGCTAGGCTATTACAAGGGTCTGAGGTTGCAATCTGCTGACTTTTACTTAAACTCACTGTTCTAATTCTAGTACTCTATTACGCAACTCCACCTAAGTCATTTAGCTTAGACAAATCAGCTTAATGTTCTTTGGCAAAACACAGAATGAACGCTATGCTTTCTCTAAAAGGGACGGTATAAAACAGCTTCTCTATTTCCTCCTGATACAGCCATACACTCAGAACAAGCAGTCTCCCAACGGCAATGAAAGCTCGGACAGGAAGTCCCCGTGCTGTGCAGGTGGAGAACCAGCATTCAAACCCTTAGGATCAAGAGGTCAATTTTTTAGCAATTGTGCTAGACCATGTGTACTCACAAAGTTGTATAGCTTTACTGGCATAACCTCTCCCTCCTCCCCCGAGTGTGGGCACAGTCATACTAGGGCAACTGTGCTTATCCTGGTATAACTCGTTCCTATATGATACAGGGACTAAGCTATACTGGCATGAAGCACCTTAGTACAAGTATAACTGCATTCATGCGAGGGCTTGTACTGATATAACTATAGTACTAAAAAAAATCACACCCCAACCAAAATAGCTATATCGGTATGCAACCTGCATACAGTCAAGCCTTAGAGTAGCCAGCCCAGGGCTCCAAAGGCCAAATCATGGTCCAGTTCAAGTCTGTAGCAAAATTCCCATTGATGTCAATGGAACGAGGATTTGGCTCCAAGTCCAGGCATTAAAAAAGAGGCGACCCTTCTCCTGTATATTGGTCAAGTCTGCTACAGCTTAAAGCATTTGCTAGGTGCAAGATTCTTTCCATCGTATGTGCCATGAGTTAAACTTCTGCCTTTACTAGGGTGTTCTGGTTCATTATGAGCAACATGTAGCAGCCTGACAGAGGAGACTGAGCTAAAAACTTGATCCGCACTCACAGCCCTGAGGTATGTCAGCTTACACACGTCATGAGGTTTCCTAGTGATTTTGATCTTACAACAAGAAGCTCTTTCTTGCGAAAAGTAATGATGAAATGTACCAGTATGATACTAGGCCACAGCACTTCCCAGTCCCATGGGCAGCAGCCACCCTATCATCAGTGTTAAAAGGCTGCAGCATTGGTAGTGCCAATCAGTCTAGGGCTTTCAGCGCTAATTCTTAAGTACAGGAAAACTGCAATGAAAGCTACAGTGGCTTTCAGACACTGGAGCCAATGGAAAACTTCTGCACTAATAATTATTTATTTTAAATGATTGCTCTCTAAACTGCTTCATTATGAAACCACGAAGAAGGAAGCAGCCATATTGTGAGCATGGTGCAATGTATCAAGACTGGAAGTACTGTAGACAGAGACATAGAGAACAGCAGATTTCAAGAGCTCTTTTTAGGTAACATATTTCTTTCTGATGTCATTTTCCTGGTAAACATCTGATGAAGTGAGCTGTAGCTCACGAAAGCTCATGCTCAAATAAATTGGTTAGTCTCTAAGGTGCCACAAGTACTCCTTTTCTTTTTGCGAATACAGACTAACACGGCTGTTCCTCTGAAACCTGTCATTTTCCTTACAGTTTCAATTGGATATAGTATTCTTTCTCACTTCCTGCCTAAGACTGTTTTGTAGTAGCACCAGATCCTATTAAACAGCTGTTGTGGTCCATTTCAGAGGTATGTGAAATGATTCCTGGTAGGGATGTCAAGTTGTTAAAAAAAATTAATCGTGCGATTAAACAATAATAAAATACCTGTTTTCTACATTTTCAAATATACTGATTTCAAATACAACACAGAATACAAAGTGTACGGTGCTCATTTCATATTTTTCTTATTACAAACATTTGCACTGTAAAAAAGAAACTTCAATTCACCTCGTACAAGTACTGTAGTGTAATTTCTTTACATTTGTAAGTTCAACTTTCATGATAGAATTATGTAAAAAGAATAACTCCACTTAACAATAAACCAATGTGAAACTTTAGAGTCTACAAGTCCACTCAGTCCTACCTCTTGTTCAGCCAATCACTCAGACAAACAAGCATTCAGTGTTGGGAGAGGACAGGGGAGGGGGGAAGTAAGCAAGGACTTGTGCAGGAGGAGGGTCTGGGAGGACAGGGGGTGACAATGGGGAGGAACAAGCAGTAACTTGTGCAGGAGGAGGGTGAGGGAGGCGTCTTGCTGCTCCTGCTTCTGGAAGGGTGGTTTCTGGTACTGGGCTCACCAGGCCCGCCTCCTTTTCCAGAGCTAGTTGGCTCCTTTCCGCTGAGTGAGTCCTTGTTTGCAAGGGAGGGTGGATTTTACCTCAGGGACTCGTCACACTGCAGGGGTGGAGAGGCTGAGCAGGGAGGCTGAGCTCGACAGGCCCATGTTCTCTATGGGGTACCCCTGGAGTGAGCAGCCAGCTAGGGGAAATGGGACACGACGCGGGGGTGTGGGGGTTGGTCCTGGGAGTGAGGGGCCGACCAGGAGCAATAGGGCCCGGCCTGGCTAGGGTGCCGATATGTTCCATTTTGGCCAGGACAATCCCCTTCTTCAGCTCTGTCCCGGCCGTCCCTACTTCTTCACCAGAAGTGGGCATTTGTCCCGGCGGCAAGGCAGAGCGGAGAGCGGCGGTGGCTGCCTGGGGATCAGCTGAAGGCAGCACTGCTCGCGCGCAAGAAAGTGGAGAAATTTGCTGCTGGCGGGGCTGTGCTGGCGTCAGAACTGACCCTTGGGCAGCACAGAGCTGGTGGGTGGGGGTGGGGTGGGGGGGAGGATCAGCTGAGCAGGGGGGGAGGCGTGGAGCTGGGGGGTGGGGGAGATCAGCCTCAGCCAGGGGAAGCGCGGAGGTGGGGGAGATCAGCCTCAGCTGTGAGCGGCACAGGACTGGGGGTGGGGGGGACTGAGCCCCAGCCGTGGGCAGTGCGGAGCTGGGGGGGGGGTCTAGCCCCAGCTGTGGGCAGCACAGGGCTCGGGCAGGGGGGTCAGCCCCAGCCCAGGGTGGTGCAGGGGGTGGGGTCAGCCCCAGCTGCAGATGGCATGGGGCTCAGGGGTGGGGGTCAGTCCCTGAGCTCAGGATGGGGGTCAGTACCAACCATGGGCAGCAAGGCAGGAATGGGGAGGAGTCAGCCCAAGCTGCAGGTGGCAGGGAGCTCTGGGGATGAGGTCAGTCCCAGCCCTGGGTGGCAGGGGGGGCAGAGGGGTCAGCCCCAGCTAGTGTTTTCCCCAGGAATTGAAATTAGGGGGGGGGTGTTCGAATTTACAGGGGGGTGGGAAATCAGGGGTGATGAGGGGTGAGACCATGAGGGTGAATGTGGGCTGTATGGCACTATAGTAAAAACTGAAAAATGTTTCATAACTATTTTATTAGTTTTAACTCCTGTTTTAGAATCATCACACAAATTAAATTGGCTACTCAAGCCTTCTATGAAGCACTACATCTACATCCTTCTTGGTTTCTTGTTATAATTTTGCACAACTCTGTTAATGAACTTCTTGAATGCAATGTGTTCATCTTTGGTAGCTTCTCATGTGTC